AGTGTAGAGTTGACTGGTGGTGGCTGGCCAGTGGCTGCCTGATGTGACCGACTGAGCTATTGAATTGAGTAGTGGAGAACTAGATCTACCTGTGGGAACAGAGACTGAGAGTTCATCTTGTGGGGAAAGTTGGACTGGGCTGAAAGGTCCTGGGCAGCTCTCTGCACGTAGCCTAATGGGTAAGAAGACTGGGACAGCATTGCTCCTACTCTCTGCAATATGTCTGGCTTGCTACAGCTGCAGTGATGGGGCAGGGTCATTGTCTTGCCCCCCTCCAGCACTCTGTAGGTCCTGGAAGAACCAGACAGACAATGCGCTTCCCTGTGGGTGGCAACTACAGTTGTGGGACATGCAGGAAAGCAGGCTGCCTGTGTTGTCCTCTAACTACACCCAGGTGCAGTCACAATCTTTCCATGGAAGAAGGAGAAGGATACCTAAAGAGTAAGGGCATTATTCATTCTCAGCCGGTGATCACCTGGTTATTTCTATAACAAAGGCCCTTGGTGCCCTTGTAGGTAGAAAACACAAACTATATGTCTCAGAGGGCTGGCCGGTCTAGTCAGTATCTACATAAACAATGAGGAATCCTATGGCATCTTCAAGTCTAACCAATTTATTTGGTCATAAGCTCTGATGAAGCAGTTTTTATCCACGGAAGCTTTTGCCCAAATAAATATGTTAGTCTTTAAGGTGCCACAAGACTCCTTTTTGTTTTTACAAGCTATCTGGTACATTCACCCTGTTACCTGACCTAAATATATTACTTTTGTATGCCTGCTGACTCTGCATCTGAAGAGAACTGACTGATGATCCATTTAATTTTTGGCACATGATTTTTAGATATTTCGTCCTTTCAAATTGGAAAGAAATTGCTGCAGAATCAAATATGTACATATTAACATATGCTATTAAAACAAAACAAATATTTTAATGAGTCCTGCATTATATCGTTTTCTGCAGAGCTGAAGGCTGTCTCAGATGCTTCAGAAGGAGGTTAGATACTACAAGACTATCACGTAGATCTTAAAATTGTCTGTATTTTTATTACCTTTTAGCATCACTGGATTTGTTTATATCTGGAGAATCCAACTTGGATAACTTGCTCTGATGGTGAGTGGGATTCAAGATCCTCTGACATTTAACATTTCTCTGTGCCAAGGTAGATAACAGCAGTCTGAGAAAGTCCCACTGACACACATGCTATTTAGAATAACAAAATCCAGGCAAAGCACACCCAAGTTTCTGCCTTTGTTTGAAGTGCTGAAGAAGTGCAGATCAGGGCCATAAAACAGAGAAGCAAAGACAGAAAAAGAATATTTCTATTTTCCCTGCAAGAGTTGTCAATGTACACTTGACTAATGTGAAAGATTGGACAGAGATAGCTCTAGATCTGAAGACATGGCTTGTTATTACACAAGTCTAAGGCCTTTATCTTTCAATAACATTATACTCTCTGTCCCCTCCGAGAAAATCAAATAAAATTCTTGTAGAAGAGGTTATGATGTCGGAGTAATGCTTTCACCTTCAACTCCACTATTACTTGCACATTCATCAGGTTCATTCTAAGGCTATAAAAGTGTAACCATTTAAACAGGTAACTGTATAAATATCAGCGTATCAGTTACCATTACAATTACACGCTGGCTTCCCAAGAATAAGGCCAGCGGCCCATAAGCTTTATGGGCCCAGAGCCTGCAACTGCTAGGATTTGGAATGGTTACACGGTTACCATTTTAAATGACTTATATATTCCTAGGTCATTCTCAGCAAGGCACAGAGTCGTACAGCCTCTACCTAAATAAAACAAATCAAATGTTTTCTCCTAGCACAGCCTCAAACGCTTGTCTACATTACATTCTCAAGCTCACACAACGCTTTCATGCTCAGAATAATGACAAGAGAGTTCAGAGGATATTCCTTTCTATAATTCAGGTGAGTGCTGTAACATTGCCTTTCTGACTTCTATAGGTAAGTCTTTCTGCAACTCCTTTATAACTAGAATTGGATTCTTTTAACTTTAACAGATATCAATATGTATTTTAAGCATTTTTTTTATTTGTATCTATTTAAATTTTCACAGTTGTGAGAAATTCGTTGGAGGAGGGGGAGCAATAGGAGGGTGTCAGATAATTATTTAATGACAGCAGATGTTGAGATTCAAATAGTTAAAGCTTTATAGCCATTAACACAAATGATCATTGTCAAAATATACAAAATAAATACCCTTAAATAAAATTTGAAAAGTTCTCAAGCAGCATTTCTCATAATTTTCCTATTTCTAAGTTTTAATTAAAGATAGAAATATATTTGTATGTGTCTCTACACAGTAAAATCAACATTTACTTACACTTATTGATTAAAAAAAAAGCCTCCCAAATTACCATGATTGGTAACATAGTCATTCATTCTGTTCTCTTTAAGGTGCTATATGTCACCTACAGTAGTACCTGAGGGTATGTCTACACTAGGAAATTGTTTCAAAATAATTTAGTTCGAAGTAATAACTCCTGAAATAACTATTTTGAAATTGCATGTTCACATTACAGGGAAGCCTCAAAATTAGTCTCAGGCAGGCTCCATTAATGTGGACATGACTTAGAACCCCCAGAAGCACTGGGGAGTAATTACTTTGAATGACTCTGAGGAGTAGTTATTTTGAAATAGCTGCAGTGGAGTATCTAACAATACTGCTATTTTGAAAGAACTATTTTGAAATAAATGTTATTCCTCATGAAAAGCAGGAGTTATTATTTCAAAATAACCAGCCTCTTATTTCAAAATAATGGGCTTGGTAGCGTGGACTCTCTACTATTATTTTGAAATAAGGGAAGCTATTTCGAAATAACTCCCTAGGGTAGACTAGGGATGTAAGCGACTAATTGACTAGTCGACTATCCAATAAGCAAAAGCTTATCGGATAGTTGACACACTAGTTAACTAGTTGCTTCCCCCCCTTGCTGCCTCTATCAGAAAGAGGAGGCAAGGGGGAGAAGAGGAAAGGGTGCTTGGAGAAGCCAGTTTAATAGCCAGTTCCCCCCCAGCTCCAGCTCCATGAGAAGGGGAAGGGGCTCAGCAGCAGTGTTCCACTTTTGAAATGTGCAAGAGTCCCCGCTGGGGCTTTTGTACATTTCAAAGCAGAAGCGCTCCATGCAGTGTTTCAATCTTTGAAATGCACAAGAGTCCCTGCTAGGGCTCTTGAATATTTCAAAGGCAGAACACCGCATGGCTCTTCCACCTTTAAAATGTAGCAACAGCCAGGCAAAGCAGAAGCACTCTTATCAATTAATTGAATTGTGGATGGAAATTCTATCAACTATTTGATTTGTTGATTAATCTAATTTTAACATCCCTAGTGTAGACCAGGGCTGAGTGTTTGCTCCAAGCAAAAGTTTGATGTACAAGTTCTAAGATCTCATGAGCATTGTGCACTACCAAACATGAGAGAAATCCTTCTAAAGGTTTCTGTGTTATGAGATTGAAAAAATATAGAGACAAGGAACATGAGGTAATATATTTTATTAGACCAACTTCTGTTGATGAGAGAGATAAGCTTTTGATCTTACCTAGAATTCTTCTTAGGTCCTGGAAAAATTATTCAGAAATAAAACAAGCTTCTTTTTTAAAAGAAATCTCTGTTCTTGAGTGAATAATTTTAATATTCAGAACTAAATTTTGTGGGCTTTTAAGTTCTAAAATTTATAAAGTGCAAGGATTCTTTTTATTTTCAAATGTCTATTTTTAATCAGTCAAGGTACTTGCTATTAAAACAAAAATATAGCTAACCAGATAAAACATTTTATATCTTAATCATTATATTTTAACCCTCTCTGCAAAGGCTACAGATCACTGATGGGCAGCTTAAGCTATTGAGTGGTCCTCCTTCAACTCAGGGAGCTGCAAGATAGTCATAACTAAATTGGTATCCCAGAACAGAGTAGTTTTGCTAACTGTGCTTGTATACCTAGAATGTGTGGGGTGTGCTGGTTGCGCCACTGCAGCGCTTTCATTGGATGCAGAGTGAAGATGTGTTTCTCACAGTCAATGTTGTGTGCAATCAGCACACATCTCACTTCACATGCCCTTGCTTTATACATATGTCACTTTAGTAATATTGGTAGGGGAAAAACTGTGCAAAGGGAAACCAGAGGAATCTGATAACCCTGAGCTTTGGCAGTGGTAAACAAAATGTCTCACAGACCACACACAGAACCTCATGTGGCCCACAGATTGCAGGTTGCCCACCACTACTGCTGATTCTGCGAGATGGCAAGATTCTTCTAACGACCAATATTCCTCTTGACTGTCCTAATTTTGTAGCTGCTGAAATATACAACCCATCTCTATGTACATGCATGTATCAAAGCCTGAGTAACAGGGATTTGTGCAGGGAACTAACCAAGAAATCAGGGGTGAGAGATGGAGCCCTCTCCACAGTTTGAGTGTAGATTGCAGAATAGTTTTGCAGCCCTTCCATGGTGCTATTCAAGTCTTTTGATTGGGTCACCTACCCCTGAGTACCACCTACATAGGGTTTTGTAGCATGCATTCACATAATTATGGGCACAGTGGCTATTCCTTTTCCTCCTCTCGCCCCTAAGTTCCCTTCCAAGGCAATTTTTGCAAACTTGATGCATAGTCCAGGTCTGGTACAGGAAGGGCTTAGGCAGCTGTCCTCTCAGCTCATCTTATAGCCACCCACCATCTACAAAGCACAACTGTTGGAGTCCACTGCATTTTTTTTTATCACTTAGAGTTGCTACAACAGGTTCTAGCAGCATCAAGAACAAGTGTCTTCCAAAAATTAATAGTAATGAAATCACATTAAGTTACTTAAGTCCCCTAGTAGCATCTCCAAAATCATAGTCAGATATGCCCCAGAATATAATATCCCATTTTAATAAATAACCCGAACAATCCTACTTATTTCCCTTTCCAAAATGCTCAGGAAAACAGATCAACTTTGAAGCATATGCAGAAGGTTAACAAATCCAGGTTCTTTCACGGATTCAGAGGGCCCTCTCAAGTGAGCTCCAGCACAAGCACGTCACTGCAGTACTACTAAATGGAGACTAACCACTAATAACCTGGATCCAAACCATTTAAGGCTTTAAAAGCTAAGGCTTTCACCTTGAATTCAACCCAGAATCAGTCCAGCTCATGGAACACCAGTGTGAAGTGTTCCCTATGTTTGGTAAGTGGGCTAGATGTAACTGTTCAATTCTCTGAAGGTCCAGCCTCAAGTAATGTGCATCTCAGTTGTTTAAACTCAAGGTGACATGGAGAAACATAAATGGGCTCATGCCCAGAAGGAAACTCATGCTCACTTAACATTAAACAAATAAAAAAATTCACTTCTCAGCACAACTGCTATCTGGGCATCAACTATCAGTCTAACAAGACTCTTAAGTTGTAAACCTGATTAAAAAATAATCACTTCACATCACTGATTATTGACACTGATTGTAGTGAGTTTTTGTCTTACCAAGACACTGCCCCATTAGCCCCCATCTTCTGTAGGACCTGTGCCCTTTTTTTCCACACAGAATTGGCCATAGAGATATAAAAAATGGGTATCTTCTTCACATTGTAACCACTCTCTTCTAATTGCCCTAATATCGTCAGGTACATGTGAACAAGAATCATAGAATCATAGGGTTGGAAGAGACCTCAGGAGGTCACCAAGTCCAACCCACTACTCAAAGCATGCCTGCTCAAGTAAATCATCCCAGCCAGGGCTTTGTTGAGCCTGGCCTTAAAAACCTCAAGAATGGGCATTCCCTCCCCCAGGTAACCCATTCCCGTGCTTCACCACCCTCCTAGTGAAATAGTTTTTTCTAATATCCAACCCTGGCCTTCCCCACTGCAACTTGAGACTATTGCTCCTTGTTCTGTCATCTGCCATCATTGAAAACAGCTTCTCTCCATCCTCTTTGGAACCCTTCAGTTAAAGGGTTAGTTAAAGGCCGCAATCAAATCCACCATGCTATCAAATTCCTAGTGATGAATAAAAGGAAATAATGATTTCCTTTGATCTGCTGACAGTGTTTCTACACATGCAGCCCAATACATCTTTAGCCTTTTTGGCAACTAAGGCACACTGTTGACTCATATCAGTTTCTCATCCACTATAATCCCCTGGACTTTTTTATGCAGAACTGCCACGTAGCCCAGTCTATAGCAGTACATTCTTCCATCATAAGTGCAGGACTCTACACTTGTCCTTGTTGAACCTCATCAGATTTATTTTGACCCAATCCTCCAATTTGCCTACGTCCCTCTGGATTCTATCCCTACGCTCCAGCATATCCACCTCTCTCCTCAGCTTAGTGTCATCCATACACTTGCTGAGTATGCAATCCAACTCATTGTCTAAATCTTGAATGAAGGTGATGAACAAAACCAGCCCCAGGAATGACCACTGGGGCACTCTGCTTGATATATCAGCTGCCAACTAGACATCGATCCATATATCACTACCCATAGAACCCAACAATCTAATATATGCACAACCTGTCCCATAAGGAGGTCGACAGAGGGTATGCAAAGACACTGCAGTTAAATCCATGAGTGATCTCAAACCTCACAAACCCCATGGTCCAAGTCCTAGGGCAAAGGCATTTGCCCCTGTGTCCAAGGCAGCATGACCTGACTGTCAGAATCTATGTAGCAGCCCTTTGCTACAGGGCAGAGTGACCTAATAGCCAACAGAATCACCAACTGGCGAGGGAGGGAGGTTTGATGGCCCAAGAAGAGGGACTCGAGGCTCACCCAACTTTTCTGGGCCCTGACTCAGGACTCTGGCAGTGGCAGATTGGTCTACCACTGGCTCAGTGGGGAATCCCACCAAACCATGCTGAGCTCACTCAAGTAGGAAATAGCACTTGTGCATAAAACTCTGGGTTACTTCCTACCATACTCAGTGGTTTGGCAGCGCATGAAGCCTTGGGGTCTCCAGGTTCCTCAGCGCAAGTCACTCCCTGGTGCTCCTTCAGCAGAGGAGGCTTATTTCAGTCCTCAGGGTCTCTCACTTCTGCCAACAGGGTCTGTGACAAGTTCTTAACTGGTGCGCCCATCACAAGTCCTTCCTCTCCAGCATTCCACTCAGACTGAGCTGAGTTGCTTCCTTTTATACTGACTCAGCACTTTGAATATGCCCAGTATACCTGAAGGGTAGGGACTTCTTCCACCCACAATGTTGTCATAACCCCTTCCAGCCTAGTGCAGGGTATGCATATCTCATCACACCACCTTATCATCCATTCATCCATTCATCCAATCCACACTCCTGTAACTTGGTGGCAAGACTACTGTGAAAGACCATATCAAAAGCTTTACTAAAGCGAAGGTATATCATGCCCATGGTTTTCCCCATATCCACAGAGCCAGTTATCTCATCACAGAAGGCAATTAGGGTCAGTCAGGCATGATTTACCCTTTGTGAATCCATGTTGATTGTTCCCGATCACTTTCCATCTCCTCCGAGTGTTTCAAAATGGATTCCTAGAGGACCTGCTCCATGATTTTTCCGGGGACTGGCCTGTAACTACTCAGATTCTCCGTCTTCCCTTTTTTAAAGAAGTAGGACAGGGTGAAACTTTGAGTAGCCCTACTACAGAGCCCTGGGGGTGGATGAACATAATCACCTTTGGTGTCTTCTGCAGCAAAAGCAGCAAAGCCACTTCAACACAGTTCCACCTGCTCCTAAAAGAACAGTGGCTTTGTCAGTGCCAGTTCTAAATCAATCTTCACAAAGGCTGCTGACACTTCTAATAAAAGACAGTGTTTCTAAGGTGATCTATAGCGAAGAGCAGCTCATTGACCCATATAACTAATGAAGCTTTTGGCCCATGCCCAGACAGATGAGATTTATGGCAATCTGAAAACTGCTAATATTGCCACCACCTTCTTGATGGATACTCCAGAGTGGGAGACTTGTTACTAGCTGATAGTTGGTTAAATCACTCGCATCAACTATTGATCCTATGAGTAGAATCTAATCCATGCCTCCTTGAGAATACCCATCTCCTTACTCTGAGATACAGAGGAACTGTCAATATCTACTGCTGCCTCACTGCTAGCTTTTACCAGCTGGAATGAACAGGGGTTCAATGCAGGTTTTTGTGCCTCTGGAATTTTCAGAACTTTGGAATCCTACAAGGCAAAACTGAATTAGTTAATGGGTTAAAAAAAGAGACATTTTTAGTACTTTCTCTTCTACTTGCAGGTCAGTGCTTCAATAGTCATTTTCCCCAGTTTTCCCATACTAAAAATGTTTACCATATGAAGGAATTTGCACTGATATTTTTCCCAGCTTGAAGACTTGAAACTTTTCCAGTTAACATCCTGTGTCACTGGGGAATTGTAGACACCTCACCAGATGAACACCATTTAGATTTCCATGGGTAAATATGCACACTGGAAAACTGTTCTTGCTGCTGCTGTGCATGCCTGAGTAAATTTGTGCTTTTATTTTATAAAATCCTGTGTAATATTATCCACAGTCTGAATCACTTAACAAACAGGAAGAAGTGTGATGCAACTTGATAGATGTGTCTATGCAAATCTTTTAATGTGGTATAAAAGGGTGATTATGAGACAGTACCTTGATAGATCTCTATACAGACTGCAAGGTCAACTTATAAGTTACACCTGGCCTGCTGGTTAGCTGCGTTTCAGAATAAATCTACAGTAATCCTGTTAGTAAATCTTACTCTGTAATACAGGTGAGCTTAGGTTCCAATGCATGGAAATGAATGTACAATATGATAAATATATATTAATTTCTTCAGTTGGAAAGCCAAAATGCAGGTTGATTGATTGGCCAGCAATCAATTGATTATGTGAGAGGCCAAACTGAGGGCAAGTTTCAGTAACTGTGGATAAGACACGTTCCCTTCTTCAAAGATCCTATGGTCTAAACAAATATTGAATGGTCTTATTCTGTGGCAGAATATATCCCCCTTATTCATGCAGTTGGAATATTTGTGTATAGATCATGTCTTGTAAGGTATAATTTAAAAACTTAAAATTTGCTGGTCAGTATTGTTCTGATAAAATATGTGTGGCAACACTGTACATAAAGTTGTAAGATTTCCCTGTATAATATTATTAATATGTTCCAAACCCCACTGTCCTGGCCAGATAGAAGTTGGCAAACAGGTCGGTCCTAAACAAAGAAATTTGTACTCTGCTAAATTTGCTTTTAAGTAGTAAACAATAAGGCAGGACGGGAAAGAAAGAAAGCTTAAAAAGGTGAGTAAAAGCCAGTAGGGAACAGCCTTCCATATAAACTCTTTGTTTTCTAGTGCCAAGCGGGAACTTTTATTATTAAAGATAGATAATAAATTATTTGAGTTATGATTGTCTACGTGGCTTCGGCAGCTACAATGTTCAAAACTCAGGAAGGATGAGACATTGGGTATCTTTATTAGAGGAGGGAAACAGCAACTTCACCATACTACCCACTAACTAATTAATGAAATCAGCTATATCCTTGCAAGTGAGTAATTAAAAGGATAACTTTGATCCTGTTATGTTTTGCAGTGACTGGACAACTTTAAGTCTCATGGGCAAGAGTATTACCATAAATTCAGGCCAAGTGAGACTGAACACACCAGCTTCTCCTTAGGATGCCAGAGTGAGTGAACAACTATAAGGAAACAGTTTTGGGCAGGAGTGAGAACCACATCAAAACAAGAGCATCTTATTCTGTGAGGACTACACAATCTGGGAATAGATAAATTTAGGCAGATTAAGTGGTACAGGTTATATTAAAATTTTACGCTTGTATCTGATATTTTAACACAATTAAGGATCATTTCAGCAAGATACTTGAGCACATACATGACTTTAAACACATAAAATTCCTATTCCAATTAATGGGATTATTCATGCACCTGAATTTAGGTATCTACTTTATCGAATCAGGATCATAACAATTGTGACCTGGCCCTGGTGACACAGTGCTACATTATGCATTTCAGCAATCATTCATAAGATTTTGACTTTGCTAATTGTTTTAATTATTATTACTCACATTATATTGGTAATCAGCCCATCCCAATACCCCTGACTAGAACAACCCCGATTTTTTTAAAAGTTCAGATTGAGCTCCATATTTTGCAGATCGCTTCTAAAAATTATTGATTAATAATTAACACTGTGCATCTATAGAAGAAAGGAAATGGAGAGAACATTCCTGTGTTAGTACTGCTGCACCAAAGTATACTCCACTAGCAAATGTTTACAGATTAGGGAAAAGTCAAGAGATTTTTATTAGTTAGCTTTTATTTTTGATTATTTGTCCATTAGCAGCAAGAAATGGAGATGTGCTACGTAAGAAAGTTATTATTTGCTAATTTGCAGCTTGTAAAATACACAGCACACTATCTATTATGTATCATGCATTACAATCACAACAACAGTTTAATTAATCACCAACACCCTGTTTTGTACCAGTCTACAACTGAATTCTGGGTAATGGTGTTGTTTACCATTTAGCAAGTAGCAACATTTCACTCTGTTTCACTACATTAAACTGCTCAAATAAAGCAAGCGGATATTGAAAAGAGTTGGCCATCTGCCTTTATTTTCTTTTACTTTTGTTAAGGAAAGGGGGGAAAACCCACCAGCTCCTCTGAAAGGAGAAAGAACACAGCCATGAAACTGATAATGACAAAAAACACCCTTTTTTATCAGGTCAAAATCTCATCTAAATGCAGTTCTGATGAATAGTAAAAAAGCTTGCTTTGTGGATTTGGAGTGGGTCTCAAGACCAGCAATGAAGTCTAATGATTATTTAATGGTGCCGCACTTGAAGCCGGATTATGTGAGACTCTCTCCCCTGTTAAGAGTTTGATGAATAGGTTTTGTGACAGCCATTTAGGAATAAACAAGAATTCATCAGTCTGCATAAGAAGAAGCCAGTTTATAGATTAAGTTTCTTGAGGTAATTCATGAGGTCAGTCCCATTTAGATGTAGACTATTAGGGCTCAGCTTTTGAGAGTGGCCATACAAGGGAGTTACTCCAAATGGACCCCTCTAACACAAAGCCCCCTTTCAGAAAGAAGCCTGAAATTTTTATGACCCTGCTGCTAGGAAGCACATCAACTTGTCACTGTGAAGATCTGCTGGGGCAGGACCTCATCACTCTATTAAAGAGCTCTGTGACCCTATTGATTTGAAGTATTTAAAGCAGGGGTGAAGTTCAAAGCAATTTCTTTTCTATACTATTACTCAGCCTCTCTGTGTCTTGGCTCTAAAACATCTGCTGTCAGTTCCTCTCTGGTGTCTGACTCTGGAATCTGTCACTGGAGAACAGAGTAGTTTTATTTAGAATAAATTGGATTCCTTTTCAGTTTTCAGCATTTCGTATTGTGATCAATGGTTTACACTCCTTCATGAGCCAAGAGACTTAACTGCAAGTGTATCCTTTTATGTCTCTTTAGAGTAGGACTCAACTAGAGTTTGCTTCTGAGGCTCTATAATAAAATCTATTCATACTACTAGCCATTCATTTTTCTAATTGATCAATCAGCAAAAATAATAAGCTTTCATTTTCTGAAAAGAAATGAAAAAAAACCAGCATCAGAGATTGTTTCTCTGGTATTGAAACACTAACAGGGTCTTTTATTTGCTAGGAGGGGAAAAAACTCTACGGAGTAAACAACTCGGTTATTTTTAAATGTCAGCAAGTAAACTGTAGAACTAGGTCTGAAAGGTATTTTTTTTTCAAAACAACACATGCTTCCATGCTTCTCTACAAACGCTGCAGGCATCAGGGCATCTTCTGAGAGGTTAATAATACATTAGGGCTATGTCTAGACTACAGGCTTCTTGTGCAAGAAGCTTTTTGCAGAAGACATCTTCCGCAAAAATTTCTTGCACAAGAGAGCGTCCACACTGCAAAAGCTCATAGAAAAAGCGATGCCTTTTTGTGCAAGAGAGCGTCCACAGGGCATCAGGGCACCTTTACTTTTTCCTCTTTCCTGTTTTTGCACAAAAAAACCCTGTTGCCCATCCACGCACACCTTTTTGCACAAGAACTCTTGCGCAAAAAGGAGTTATTCCTTGTAGAAAGAGGAATAACTATTGTGCAAAACACCTCTGTTCTTTCAATTTTTTTGCACAAAAACGCACTTGAGATGTGGATGCTCCACCAGTTTTTGTGCAAAATGGCCGTTTTTGCGCAAAAACTCTGTAGTGTAGACATAGCCTAGGTTTGGGGCATGCATTACAGTGGTTAATAATACATTAGGTTTGGGATGTGCATTTCAGGTGTGATGCTGGGAAAGTTACACAAGGCTGTGCAGGTGAGATTAATATTCAGTTATGGTGGTCAGATGAATGCTAATGGAATGCTAATTAATCTGTTACAAAAAATATTTAAAATAGTGAAGTATAGCCAGGGCAAGAAGTTAGAGGTTTTAGATAGGAGATAATGTATAGCATTATACAGAGCATCTCTGTTGTCTTAACCTAGAGAACTCACTGCTGATGTTAAAAAATATGCCGTCTCTTGGGGCTGCTCTGTCAAATAACCAGGGCTTGACATTTAGCGTAATCTACTCGCCCAGGGCGAGTAGATTACAAGCCAGCACAGCCCCGCAGCGCGGTGAGCACATGCGCAGCACAGTCTGTGCGTGCACAGCGTGCCAAACCGCGTGGCAGGCGAGCGGGGCTCACCGCCGCTTGGCGAGCCCTGCAAATAAGTATCATGTGCTAATAAGCAACACATTTATCACTCAGTTTAATTGCCTAATATACCCGTCGTCTGCATCTAGACTGGCAAGTTTTTCCGCAGAAGCAGCTGCTTTTGCGGAAAAACTTGCCAGCTGTCTACACTGGCCGCTTGAATTTCTGCAAGAACACTGACTTCCTACTGTAAGAAATCAGTGCTTCTTGCGGAAATGCTATGCTGTTCCCGTTCGGGCAAAAGTCCTTTTGCACAAAGCTTTTGCGCAAAAGGGACAGTGTAGACAGCTCAGATTTGTTTTCCACAAAAAAGCCCCGATCACGAAAATGGCGATTGGGACTTTTTTGCAGAAAAGTGCGTCCAGATTGGCACGGACGCTTTTCCGCAAAAAGTCATTTTGCGGGAAAGCGTCCATGCCAATCTAGACACTCTTTTCCTCAAATGCTTTTAACAGAAAACTTTTCAGTTAAAAGCATTTGTGGAAAATCATGCCAGTCTAGACGTAGCCGTCAGGTTTGTCTACACAGCAAAGTTAATTCGAAACAACAGCCCTTATTTCGAATTAACTTTAATAGCATCTATACAGGCTATGACAGACCAGGCCGGATCTGGGCACAGCTGAGGGTGTCCGCTCAGGGCGAATTGCTCAAATTTGGGGCTCCTTACAGACCCCAGGCTGGAGGCCTTTCCAAACAGGCCACAAACCAGTCCCACAGAGCACTTCAGCTGCCTGCCTGAAGCCTCACGAGCAAAACCCCTCTGACACCCCAGCAATATCCATGCCCCAGATGGCCCCAGGCCTCATACACAGGTGAGGGATCTAGAACCCAATCTCACCTACCCTGAACGAGTTCTGTCCGGTTCCAAGAAACCAGCCACAGTTCTCAGGTCAATTTACACTCTGGATCTTACCCATGAATCACGCTGAGTCAATCCTTTAGAATCTAAAATATAAAGGCTTATTACTACAAGAAAGAAAAGCATGAGAATAAGGTTGTTAAAGTATCATACATTACATGCATCAAATCTCCCAGTTCTCGATGCGGACTCTAGCAGAGATGTTATAGCTGCTGGCTTAAAAGTCCTTGGTGTGCATCCTATGCCAGGATGGGTCCACAGTTCTTCCCAGCTCATGAATCCCTGCGAGGCCGCATCCGGGGTCAGGAGAAAATCTGTAGACCAACATGGAGTCGACCACATGGCATATTTATACCTCCTTCCTGGTTTCTTCCAAGCTGGCTAGAGTCACATGGCCAGTGGCCAGGTGTATCTTTGGCCTCCAGAGATCCATTGTTCCCTGGAGACTTGCTCATTAGCATGTCTATAGGCTGAGTATTCTTCGTCTATTCTCAGCCACAAACAGAGAAATATTCAGTATCCGCACAGAATACATGCTTATAACTTCACACACAGATATTATACAATTACATGAATAGCATATATAAAATTAGTATAAAGTAAGCTTTTGTTTGACACCTCACATGGCCCTCTTTGTACCACTTTTGGGATGAACACTCCACTATGGGTGCAGCAGTGACCCGGATGCTCCCCTCAAAATCCAATAACATGACACAGGCAAATCGCTATTTCGAAAAAAAATCAAAATAGTGGGGCACTTAATTCAAATTAGTTAAACCTCATTCTACGAGGAATAACGCCAAATTCAAAATAGCTCATTCGAAATAAGCACCGTGTAGACGCTTATTTTGAAATAGGGAGCCTCCAGCTCTTCCCAGTTTCCCCGGTGGGAAAACTCTCCCCCCCCCCAGCCCCAGAACCCTTAAAGGGGTAGACTCTGGCCACACTTAACATGCCAGATCCAGGCCTGCCAGCAGTCGCTGCTCCTGACCCAGTGGCCCCAGGATGAGCCGGGCAGCCAGAGCCAGCCAATTGTCCCCTGCCCAGTCCCCCAGCACCCAGGAGCCAGCTAGGGGCCATAGACAGTGGGCGGGGGGAGACCAAGGACTACGTATGTGGCCCTTGCTTACCATGTATCACACAGCAATCTGTGCACGTGTAAGCACGTGCTGTGCCACCCCTGGACAG